GAACTTTTATTACATACTTCTTCCTAAACTAAAGCTACTTTTATATTTTACATCATTGTGTTTACATTTATGATGCATACATTTTATCATACATATTTTATCCAATACAGGTCACTTTATGAAACAATCCAATTTTTGCCTGTTTATCTAATGTTTTCCCTTGTATGAGCTGTGGTAAATTGCTTGCATCATTTGACTGTTATTCTCCACTGAATCAGTTATATGCCAGATTACCTCTGAGTTTTGGAGCTGTATAAAGAGAAATAGTAAAGCCAAGTCCAGGACATCCAGGTGGCCGCTGTTCATACCTCAAACAATGAGCAAGATCTAAAGAACTGCACTCAATTAATGTATTCTTTTAGAGCATGAAAGCAGGATTAGAGGAAGGTAGAAATATTATAGGTTCTTACTGACCAGGTGGTTGTGGTTTTGACTGATCAGCATGAACATTTTCACCTTGGAGGCAAAGGCTCTAGATTGCATTGTTGTTTCTAAAAAGAAGAATGGTATTATCAAGAGACTAAGACTCAAGAGACCTGGTTTATAGTACCAGCCCTACATGACTAGGTAGGAACTTGGGGAATTTAGTTAACATGCCAGAGCTTTTATTTCTCATCTGTAAAATAAACCTTTTCACAAGGTAACCTGTCAAGATCTTCAGATTTTAGGAGGCTCAGATGAATATCATGTACATGAATACACATGTACAGACATGTATAGATCGGTTTTAAAAATCAAAATATACATTTTCCTATGACTCAAAAATACAGACTCATGTCTCAAACTTTGCATATATTGTTTCTAGACAGTTATTAGATTTAAAAAACAGTTGTGTTTTTGTTTTTTAAGTGATTTCTACACCCAACATGGGGCTCAAACTCCTAACCCTGAGATCAGGAGTCACGTGCTGTACTGACCTAGCCAGCCAAGCTCCCCTAAAAAGCAACTTCTTAACTGATTATCCATCTCCCTCCCTCCCTTCCTTCCTCCCTTCCTTGTGGTGGAGGGAGGGGCAGAAGGAGACAGAGATGGGGAGAGAATCTTAAGCAGGCTCCACGCACAGTATAGAGCCCTGTGCAGGGCTCGATCTCACAACCCTGAGATCATGACCTGAGGTGAAATCAAGAGTCGGACTTAACTGACTGAGCCACCCAGACACCCCATGATTATTATTCTTTAATTACAAACTGTTCATATACAGTAAGTGAGGGATTTTACCTTACTTAAACTGGAACTAATAGTGTATAGGAAAATCAGGATTTAGACAGTCTTATTACTTTGGGTAGGGTGGTTATTTGCTTTGAAAAGCATTCATTTTATAATTTCTTTAACCACTTTTAAGTCTGATGTAATATTAAATGTAATAAATATTATCCTATATGTAAATCTTTCATTTGCATATTGTTTTGTAGAAACAAAATCTGCCTTAAGGGAAAGCAACGTATCTTTATTTGAGATTAATATCTGTGATCTACCAATTAATTGGATAATTGGAATTTGAAATTAGTAAAAATGTGTAGTGAAATGGGTATATATGTGTACTTTTAACATTTACTTGATCTAAAATTTCTAAACCATTAAGAGTCTTAAGGTAAAAAAAAAGACAAGGTAAAACTGTAATGCTTAAGTTCAGTTTTTTACTAATATTAAAATTAGGTGTAGAAAGGTATTTTCTAGGTGCTGTTAATTCTTTGAAAAACAGACAAATTTTCAGTCTACTTAGCTCTAAATTGTTACTGTTAAAGGCTAGTGGTTAGGAGTACATAAATAAGTACTTTATAAAAGAAGCCCTAATTACTAGGGTATTAAACAGATTTTCTAAATTTAAGTTATCCCCAAGTAAATTCATTTCCTTTTTTAATAGGATTACTATACTAGTAGATGAGAGGTACTCTGAAAACATAGCATATCTAGATTTCAGCCGTGCCTTTAACAGTTTTTCATTATATCTTTGGGGGGAAATTATGACTGATTATTCATAACTGAGTAAATGAATGAAGGTATGAAAATAGTACTAACTCAGATAACTATCACCCTGGAACAAGGTCTCTGATGGTTTGCTGCAGGATACTTTCTGTCCTGATCAACCTCTTCATTAAGTCCTTGGCGAAAGAGATTGATATGGTTAATCAGAGTTGAAGGTGTCAAGCAGCTGAAAAGAATAATTAAAAATTTCAGCCATATAATTGGAATCCATTGGTATTCTCAAATGAGAAGCAGAAGTCATCACATTATGTGATTCAGCTGTACCACATTTATGTAATTTATGGAAAGGACAGCTGTTCTTAACACCATTTTCAGTTGAAGAGAAAGCAAACAGGAACTAAATTAAATGCTATGACTAGGTTCTCTAGCAAATCTCTTAACGCTTAACAAAGTGATTTAGATACTGCACCAAAAAGAGTCTGTGTAGTGGGATCTTAATTAACCTAAATCAGACAGAGCTCCTGTTAACATTGCAATACATTTAAGAATTAGGATGTCTTAGTCATTCTTTGAAATTAAAATTCTAGAAACGAAGCATTATTAATACTACCTTAGTACCTTACCTAAGGATATTGTATCAGAAACGTTGTTAATATGATTAAAACATGAAACACCCTGAGAGCAGAGTTCCTAGTAGTTGAGAAGAATAAATGAAATGCCTCACAATATCCCCATCTCAATTTTGCTTACAAAGAGACACTAAAAGTACATTGTTTCAATTGATCATGGACAGATTTTTCTTACTAAGTTTTCCCCTTAAGGTTATGAAGACAAGCACTAGGCTATTAGGAATTGTAATTAGGACTTTTCCTTTCCAACTCCTTAGATTAGCAGTCTGCAAATTCTGTAATACCTTTAAAAGCCTTAGCAGTTTTCTCAATTTTAACTTCAAACGTTTTACATATTTTTATCAGATCATAAGGAGATAAAAGTAATTTTTTTCCTGAGTGGCTGCTGAAGTCAGGAACAAACTAGAAACAGTTCCATACTGATTTTCTAAATAATGGCTTAAAAACAGAGGTCTTCCATATTTATTGCTTCTTAGTCTTATATGAGAAATTTGTCCCTCAGACATTTCTAATAAATTCACTTAATCATGGGGTAGACTATGTTTTAAGGTTTCTTACAACTCTCATTTGGAATTCTGTGAACTTTTTTTTTGTAATTATTTTTTACATGGTTGTAGAATCTCAGAAACTAACTCAATCCTTAGAGAATTAAAATTAATTTGTAAACAAATACTGCCTAGTAATCAAAAGTGGTTCTGTAAAACATTGAATACAAAACATGGAAGACCAATTCAGAAGTCAGCCACAACTAGCTGTACTTAAATAATATAAGCATGTATTTGAGGTGATATGATATATGGTTTTATTTTTTACTGATCTAGTCAACAGACATTTATTGAGCTACACTGTCTTTCTTGCTCTGGAGAACCAGAAGTGAATGTTGGGCCTTCCATGTGCAATCATCCCTTATTTTTTTTTTTAATCATAAATGAATTGGTCTTATATAATTTTTAGGAAGCCTTATTTTATAAGTAGTTTCATTAGGACCACAGATTGTTGACCTGTGTCCATAGGTCCTTATTTTGCTATTGAGAGTTTAATGGTCTGCTATGTTAATTTACCCATTCAAATACTATACAAGTCTGTGTTCTCTAATGGAATACAGAAACCTCAGAACAGGGTTTCCACTCTCTTCTTTGGAATAAGTAATCTTATTGTTATATTAGTGTTTTGTTTTTTGGTGTTTTTTGTTGGTGGTGGTTGTTTTTGAGAGAGAGAGAGAGCACAAGTGAGGGGGTGCACAGAGGGAGAGGGGAAGAGAGAGAATCTTAGGCAGGCTCCATGCCTGCATGGAGCCCAATGCAGGTCTCACTCGATCTCACGACCCTGAGACCATGACTTGAGCTGCAGTCGAGAGTTGGACACTTAACTGACTGAGCCACCCAGGCACCCTTATATTAGATTTTTTTTTGTTTGTTAAGTGTTTCAAATAGGTTGAGTCTGAGGAAATCAGGCCAGTGAACATGATGGCATCTTTGTTGGATTCTGACAAGTAAAATCAAGGTTGAAGGCTTACAGATATTTAAAGAATGAATCATATTTTGTGAAAATTCTTGAATTATAAAATTTAGTGAGATTTCAGATGTCCAGGAACCTCCCAGTTCTCCCTCCCCCCACCCCCCGCAAACATCCTTTCCAGCTTTTGGAAATATGAGAGTATTTTGGTTGTCACAAAGACTTGGGGAGGGGAGTGATGCTGGCATTTAGTGCGTAGAGCCCATGGAGGCCTTAATGGCCAAAATGCCAGGAGTAACCTTGGTTGGGAGCACAGTCTCAGGCATATTTCCTTCTACTCTTTCCTCTTCTCCTCCTTTTCTTCCTCATTTAGAAATTGAGGACCCCAGCTGTACAGACATTTGGGGTAGTAATGTGCCCTTAGTACACTTATGCCCTTTGCACAGCACTCATTTGGTGCCATTCCCTCTTTTATAGCTAGGAATTTCTTTTGAGAAAACATTGGTATGTAAATTAGAATTCAAAGGGACATTAATTCTTCAACTTTCTATATTAGAACATATTTATTGATCCCAGGAGAAGGTGTCATGTTACCTTCCTTCTTTTCTCCTTTATGGTTAGAATCAATACTACTGCTGTGTATACATCTATTGTGTATACATTGATCCAGTTTAGGAGTGAGTTGTTTCCTAGCTTCAGCACAGTGAAAATGTGCTTGTGCTATTTTTCAGGAACAGTGCAGATTCTCATTCAGCCATTTTAATTACTCTAAGCTTGATATGAATTTGGAATTCAGAAAAGTTAGTTGCTTTGACTTGTTCACTTATATGTGCTGTTCACATTTAGTGTAAAATACATTTGAACTGAAGAGCATATGAATGTTTGGTTTCATATTTGGCATCTATTAAATAATGACTCCAGTTATAGAAACATATCTGGGAGATACAGTGGTTTTTTTTGGATCAAAATTTCAGCTTTACTTTCCAGCTATTTCTTTTTTCTTTCTTTTTTTTTTTAAAGGTCACATTGACTAATCTAGCACCATAATTCCAGTCTTAGGCCATCTCAAGTGGCTGGAAGGAGGGAAGGGATGAGGTGAGGAAGTTGGAAAAGGGTGGTTCTTAACTTGTGGCCCCATCTATGCTCTCAAGCGACGCAGGATCTAACAGGAAAATTGTTGAGGCTTGAATTCAAAACAAAAGCTTTTGGTTCAGATGGTAAGGAGGCCCTCAAGAACAGCAGAATCCGTATATCCAGAAGGCAGTGCTGGAGTCCGCCTCATGAACTAGGGGGTTTCTTCTTGGCATCCAAGTCCTTTTTAATTTCTTCTAGTTTTTTAGCCAGGTTTGGTATGTCATAGTTCTGAGCCAGATACATTCCAACCACGTTGCCAAAAGTAAATCCAAGCAGGAACTGGAGCATGGCGTCGGCAAGGAGGGTGCTAAGGGCGGTGGCAGCCACTTTCCAGCTATTTCTAAGTGACTGTTTTTTTTCCTTATTATAATTCAAAATACCTGAATTTGATTCATAATTTTCTTTCCCCATATTCCTTTAATCTTCCCTGTTGGAAATCCATCATCATTCTCTTAGGCTAGAAACTTGGGCCTCATCTTTGATTCATTCTTTTCTTTAATCTCCAGTATATAGTCAGCAGATCCTATTGGTTCTTTCTTCAGAAGAATCACTAGGCCTTTTCTTTTGTGTTTCCTCTGCCACCACTCTACTCCAATCCTTGCCATGCCTCAGTGTTCTTAACCCCGGCCTCTCACCTCTTTTTCAAGCTTGTGACCACTCAGCTTAAAATTATTGAAACAGAAAACATAAAACATAGTACCTCAGGAAGAAATGGAAGGCAAATGAATATTAACCCTGAGATCATCTAATCTTCAACAGAGTAAAATTTTTCTGTCATTTGTCCTAAATTTCAACTAATTTCAAAGATTTACGTATTTCATTTAACAATATTTATCAAGTATATGCTCCTTCTGGTGATAATAGCTAAATATTATACTTACTGCCTTTTCATTCCCCTTTGACAGTTCATCTGTTTTCTTCAGCTATCCTATTTATGTTTTCTCTAGTTTTTCATCTCCAGCCCTCAGCCCTGCAAGTGCCAGTCCTGTTTCATAGCTACTAAGCCTTGATTCATTTTAAGCTCCATAAATCACACAAGTCCACAACTGATGGATGGCAATGCAAGGACTCAGTTCCATCTCCTCTGCAGACCAGCAACCTTCCAACCCCAGAATACAATAATGTAATGGTTTCTTAAGAGAAAGGGTAAAGGAAATGAGAAATTGGCCATTTGACTGGTTTTTGATAACAAATTTTAAGAAGTTTGGGAAGAGTTTTCAGAAGTAGTTAGTATCTGTTGTATTTTGTCTTCATCTTGCTTCTTGCTCTTTCTTGGTTATATCTCTTTATTTAGAGTCATGTGGCTATTCTTAATATTTGGAACCACTGGGGCTCTGTGCAGTTTAGTGGAAAATTAAATAGCAAAGAATAATGAACAAGGTTACTTTAAAATGTAATAGCTTCATATTTACCTCCCACCTACTCCCCCAGCCCAGCCCACCCCTGCCATCTGTGGCTAGTAATATTTTGCAAAGAATAAATTGAGATAAATTCTTGTTCTCCTTACATGGACTTGAAATAACCCATTGAATGCCATTTTTCTTCATTTTTTAGCAATTTTCATATTTTCTGAGCATGTGGAAAGTGTGCTTATTTTTTATTCCTTAGAACTTCAGTATGGTCTATTGTTCACCTGGGATTTGGAAAGTATAAAATCAACTAAGGATTTTCAAGAGATGGCTTATGTAGCTCTGATATTCATGGAGTATAGCAAGAAAACAGCTCAGCACTGTGGTGAAAAGCATTTTCCAAAACAATACAGCATTATCTATATATTGCCTCCAGGTGGTAGTTTTCCAGACAGAGAATATGCTTTTACTTTATATTTTAAAATTTCTGAGTTTTGGGACGTTTGGGTGGCTCAATCGTTAAGCGTCTGCCTTCGGCTCAGGTCATGATCCCAGGGTCCTGGGATCGAGCCCCACATAGGGCTCCCTGCTCAGTGGGAAGCCTGCTTCTCCCTCTCCCACTCCCCCTGCTTGTGTTCCCTCTCTCGCTGTGTCTCTCTCTGTCAAATAAATAAAATCTTTAAAAAGATAAAATTTCTGGGTTTTTTGTTTTCTGTTGTTTTGTTTTTTTAACATTGAAGGTTAGGAACTAGAATCAACTTGGTCCTACCAAAGACTCTTTATATTTTTTTCCTCATGAGCCTACTGTTTTGAAAATATTTGTTTAAAAACACCATATACTATTTTCCTTTCAAAAAAAGAAAAGTAGGGGTGCCTGGGTGGCTCCGTCGTTAAGCGTCTGCTTTCGGCCCAGGTCATGATCCCAGAGTCCTTGGATCGAGCCCCGCATCGGGCTTCCTGCTCTGTGAGAAGCCTGCTTCTCCCTCTCCCACTCCCCCTGCTTGTGTTCCCTCCCTCTCTCTCTGTCTGTCTCTCTCTGTCAAATAAATTTTTTAAAAAATCTTAAAAAAAAAAGTAATCAAGGGCTAAAAGCCAGTCATTTCTTTTTTTTTTTCCCCAGTCATCATTTCTGAATGACACTGGTACAGTGGTATTACCTGAAATAGTCATAATCCCAGACAAAATTAAATATTTCTCACTTTAATCTGCCTATACAACTTTATTATGGGTGACTGTACACTTTCCATTGGACCCTTTTGTGGACTTCAGGTTGGAGACCACTATTCTATACTATATGTCTCATGACATAAAAACAATTGTTTTATTATACCATTTCATTTTATGAAATAAATTTTTGTATGATTCTGCAGTTGCTTTACAGGCAATACTTGGGGGTTACCTGGCCCGTTCTTGAGTAAGGAGATTGTATTCCTTTATGATACTTTATGGTACTTTGCTTTATGATACTTTGCAGTTGTGTAATAGCTCCCCACAGCACCTTTGAGCCCCTTAGGTGGTAGATGACATTGTGGTACAGGATTCCTTTGAGGTAGACAGAGACTAAATAAGCAACCCTCACTGCTGCTTGTACTTTTTAAGTTAAGTATCTCGGGTAACTAGACAGGTAATTTAGTTTCTAAACAAGGTCAGTGCTTATATTCTTCTTCCTAAAACCTCATAATTCTGATATTGGCTTTGACGTTAAACAAAAGCCTCTCTTGCTTTCCTTTCTGAACTAAGTCATTCTAATCAGTAAAAGAAAGTATTTGCCTTATTTAAAAGTTCATATGACCATACTAATCTCAAGAGATTTTAAACCCCTTACCAGTTCCTTGCTTTTCATTTGTTGCTCCTCCAGCCACTGGCTGGATATGGGGGTTTGCTTTTATACAAGGAGAGCTGCTGGAGTTAAAGAAAACCTACCTCTTATTGAATCCCATTGGGAGGTTAATGCTAGCGAAACAAGTTGCCTGGTGGAAGAAGGCAGAAGAGACTCCTTGAGAAATGCACAGCCAACTGATGTGACACATCTTAACTTCACCGTCTTTTTTTTTTTTTTTAGATTTTATTTATATATTAGAGAGAGAGAGAGAGCACAAACAGGGGGAGCGGGAGAAGGAGAAGCAGGCTCCCTGCTCAGCAGGGAGTCCAGCGCGGGACTGGATCCCAGGGTTCTGGGATCACGACCTGAATCGAAGGCAGAAGTCCAACCAACTGAGCCACCCAGGCGCCCCTTAACTTCACAGTCTTGCTTTCAAATCTATTCTCTGCCATCTGTGACTACAGATAGTAATTGATTTATTAGATTTATCGTTCTTCTTTGACTCAGCTTTACTTTTCCCATCTTTTGCCACTTTAGGAAAAACTTAACCAGTCATTAGGCATCAACATCAAGAAGGTCAGTTTAGGAACAGAACAAGGTTCATGGTCTTTGGACATTATACTCCAGTAGATCCTTCAAGAATAAAATATAGTGAAGTGTAAAAGAGAAGGAGAACATTAGGCATTTTATTGGAAAAAATAAAGTAGTATATTCATGAGTTCTGACAGCTGAGATAGGCTTTAATAATACAGGAAAGTCTCTTTTTTTTTAGCCTTTTTTTTTAAGATTTTTACTTATTTTTATTAGAGAGAGAGACAGTGAGAGAGGGAATACAAGCAGGGGGAGTGGGAGAGGGAGAAGCAGGCTTCCCGCCACACAGGGAGCCCGATGTGGGGCTCGATCCCAGGACCCTGGGATCATGACCTGAGCAGAGGGCAGACGCTTAATGACTCAGCCACCCAGGCGCCCCAGCCTTGGTTTTTATAAAAAACATCTTTCGTGTGGTATTTGCTTCTAAATAATTGCAGGGGAGGGAGAAGTGCAGGACATGAGTTAATAATTGAAGCTGGATGAAGAGTGTACAACATTCATTTTCCTCACTTTTATGTATGTTTGAAATGTTACACAGTAAAGAGGTTTTTAGAGACATCTTTTCCCCAGGAATTTTGGAAGGATAAAATCTATTTCCCTATGAAATTTTCAACATTCCCCCCCAGTACTATTTCCCTATGAAATTTTCAACATCCCCCCACCCCCAGTACTCAACAGTGTTGAACACAATAAAAATTCTGTCTTAGGTTTGTATTATTGAGGGAAAAATATTTTCTTGTCAGTAAATTCTGAATTTAGCATGTTGTTTTTTTAATCTGTTAATGTCCAGATTATATTGTATTTATTCAGCAGTATGAAAATTTATTGCATTAATTGCATTCTAATGAAATTTGTATTCGGTTTTGTTTCTGTTCAAGGGCATATTGAAGCAAACTTTAATTAGTACTGAGAAGTCTGAAAAATAATGAAAAAATGGTATTTAAACAGTTTCTTCATATACAGTATGCCTGATACATCTCTGGGTAGTATTTTAGTTAAGGAGCCTATTTTCTCATTCTGGGTCCTAATGTAACTTTGCTGCTAAAATGCTGACTTAATCCTCAGTCTCTTCTATATTGTCTAGTTGGTCACTCATATTAAAATGTCTATGCCAATTGACATGCTCTAATTTTGCTCCTAAAGCAAAGATTGGCAAGTTTTTTGTTGTAAAGGGCTGTATAATTAATATTTCAGGATTTGAGGGTCACATTTGCTCTCTCTCACATGTTTTTGTTGCTATTCTTTACTCTTTAAAAAATGTAAGAATAGTTCTTAGCTCTTTTGTAAGAGCCTTATAAAAATAGGCAGAAGGCTGTAGCTTGCTAACTCCAGCTAAACAATTGCTTTTTAATTAGATGGTTTGAGAAATAAAAGGTAAGGATCCAAATGTTAAAGGTTATTATTTTTTTTTAGATTTTATTTATTTATTTGACAGAGAGAGACACAGCGAAAGAGGGAACACAAGCAGGGGGAGTGGGAGAGGGAGCAGCAGACTCGGGGCTCAATCCCATCATGACCTCAGCCAAAGGCAGACGTTTAACTACTGAGCCACCCAGGTGCCCTGTTAAAGGT